ATCTGCCATCTCATGTGGGTCTCTAATAAGAACAGTCTTTTCTGAGCTTATTTTTCTTGGGTCAACTTCATTTTTTTTATAATCTGCCATTGAAGGATGTAGGAAACATAAATAGTTCAAAACTGAATCAATTCAAATTCGCGTAACTTTTACCTCTTCTTAATAGAGAGAGGCCTGAACACTCCTGTTTTGTTCAAGAATCATCTTAGGCCCCAGGTGCTTGAAAAAAGTTTTTATTCAAAGATCATGTCCAACTCCAACTACAAAACAGAACATGGGCTTCTGCAATGCACATCCCTTTCTGTCTTCACTTAAAGTGTGCAGGCTGCAATACCACATCTTCATTTTCCAGCCAAGATCAACAGCTATCATACAATAGAGATATAACAAACAATTCCAAAATCTTAAATCCATCTAGTAATGAAACTTATTAACAATATTAGCTTAACCCCTGAGGTGCCTCACACTATTACTTGAACTTTCAAGATGCCCTTTGAAATACCATGTTTTTCTCATGTATAACCCATACCTTTTTCCCCAAAACCATCTCAGGGAAATTGGAGTGTGGATTATGCCAGGAAAAGGGATCCCCATAGGTTTGGAAATTTGGTGCAGGGGGAGGGGGCAGAGTGGTGGCAGCATCCATTGTCATGGCTCAGGGAGCCATTGGAATTAATATTGCCTCTGTTCCCTCTACCCTTCTCATGAAATTTCCAAACCGATGTGGTGCCCTCTCCCCATCCACACCCTGGCACTTTAGCTAAAGTTTGTTGGACTTTTGAAGCACAGGGACGTTGAATGTGAGACAATGCTGGTGCTTTACAGTGGCTCTGAGAATCAGTCAGAACAGGAGAGAGCCACCCTAATTAAAGCACATTCCCTCACCCCTGGAGCACATGTATGTGCCCCCCATGGAGCGCCCTATGGGTGTGTCCAGACGAGCATGGCTGTGTGGTATGTGGCAATACAAACACATCTGCAGCACCACATACTGCACCGAGGTGTTCTCTGTGCTGCAAGGGTGCACTGCCTGTGCGTGCGTTGTTCCAGTTTTTTTTTCCTGCAAGTTTTTTTTTGACCCCTGGATATCCAGGGATCAAAAAAACCCACAGAAAAAAACCCAGAGCAGTGCACACATGGGCAGTGGGAGCTGCTGAAAAGCAGAACCAGGCCACCCAGAGCCGTGCTACAGCTGCCAGCCAGGCTTTGCCTGGCAGGGTCACCACAACTGAAGCCCTGGAAGGCCCCTAGAATCCCAGGTAAGGATGCTGGGGCCAGTACAGTGCTAGCCCTAGCTTCCCCTACCACCCTTGGGGTAACTTGCAGTACACCAAAGCACGCCTGGTATGGGTGTTCCCCAGAGACAAGTAGCTTTTATTGCAAGGTGCACCACTGTTACTTGTCCCCAGGGTACCAAATGTCCATGCTCATCTGGATGCGGCCTATATGTCTATCTGTGGTGACAACCCTGTAATACCATGAGACCATCTCATGTGATGCCACTGCTGTTTCTGATTGATTTTCATCAGAAATGCGTACTGCTTCATTCAGGGGGGTCGGTTGTAACTGTGTTGGTCTAAGGACATAGGCAGACAAGGTTCTTTGGGTAAATCTGATATCTTCTATTAGACCAACTCAGCTAGTTGGAAAAATTCTTCTTAACAAGCTTTCAGGCACCAATGACCTTCATCAGGCTGACGAAGTGTTTGCAGATGGTCTGTGCTCTTCCTGGATGAAGTAGTAAAGCAGCCTTCATTCATGTTCATGAAGTAATGGAAGCTCCCTGGACCCCAGATCATACTGCTTTATTTATTTATTTATTTATTGGTAGCTTTATCTAGCTCTTTATATTTCTGAAAATCCTTTATTCCTCTAACAACAATTTCAGATGGTATGTTTGGAGTGTTGCTGTAGCTATGATGGTTCAGGAAATATGTGAGAAGCAATGTTAGTTCAGTAATATTTTTTATTGGACAAATGGTATAGTTGGGAGAGATGTTATACATGCTTTGGGCACAAAGTGCCCTTCAACTTCACCAGCTTCAGAGGCAATCTAGTTTCTGGCTTTTCTGTTAAGCAGAGTATCTGCAGGATATTTCATTGTTGCTGTCCTTAAATACAACACAACTAAGTATGAATGAGAGTTTGACTTCACAGTCTTTTCTGTGGTTATTTGTTTATTTCTTACACCATTTTCTACCACCCCATTGGATTGGAGATAATGTGTATTAAATGTTACATTTCTAAATCTGTTTTTCACCTCAAAGTGCTTGAACTCACACCCACAAAACTGTGGTTCATTGTCAGAAATTACCATGTTGTATACTGTGGGGCTAGCAAAGATAAATCAACACCTTCCTTTTACTCTGGAAACTATTCTGGGCAGATAACAAGTAAAGCACTGTTTAAATCTTTTTTTTTCCAGTTATTTTGCACACTTGCAGAGACTTCCAGCTCTGTTAGATGTTGTAAGTGCCAAATGTTTCCACACAGGTTATCTTTTTTTGTTTTTTATTTGCTATGTATGGTGTTCAGGAACCACTCAAAACCTAAGGTACTTGAAAAAAGCATGCATTAATCACAGACAAGTTCCAACTACAGTAGCACAACAGGCCGTACATTTCTGCAGTGTCCCTCTCTAGAATTCCTGATACCAAATTTAACCCATACACTTCAAGGTGTAGCTTCTAGTAGCACAAACCATTTATATGGTTCTCTGAAGAGCTAAACCAGAAAGAAACCAGAAATGTTTCCCCCCTGTAACACTTGTATTTACTCCAGGGGTTTCATTGGTTGTAGGTATGTTGATAAAATTCCCCATATACATATAAGCACAGAGTTTCCCAGTCATCTTGTTTCCTCCTTTAGTTTATCAGTTACCTTTAAACAGAAAGAATGGACAAGTAGCACTAAATTATAATGTACAAATACAGAGATTTTACCAGAGCTGTTCACATTTCTCCAGTATTTCTGAACTAACGTGAACTTCCCACTGTTTTGCTAAACTGGCTTTTATGTACTACACAGTATTTTCTCTTACAGATTGACGGGAACTGCTGTGGTGGAAAGGACTTGTGATAGCATGGCAGCTGGAGCTGTGAACTGGGCATAGCAGGGAAAATTTTAGGAGCCTAGAACTTTTGCTTATTTGCCTTGCATATCCTGCATTTTGGTTTCTTCTTCTAAACACTCATTTGCCACACTTTTTCAGCTTTGGGGGACTAATATGAAGGCATTATTGCTTGGTGACTAATAGTAACTGACTGGCTCAAAATAAAACCTCAGGAAAGAACAGAGAAAGAGGCATGGCAATAGAAGCAACCTTTGAGGTGTCTTTCAGGGTTGGAGTTAAGCCTGGGCATGTGAGTGTGAAATTGGATCATGACCTATGGGCAGATATATATGGCATATGGGAGTGCCTTTGAGTATTGTGGTATTGTATGTGGGAAAAGAGTGAGGTGCTGCATTATTTTTTATGAAATATTGTACGTCTCAGTTTAGCTGTTAACTTGGGCTGTTTACCTAACCTCAGAGATTAACTTCTTTTTGGAGACACTCTTTGAGGGGTGGGTAATAGGTGTTCACAGAAGTTGTAGCTTTGTCTGGGTTCAATGAGTGGACTGTTAATAGACATTTGAATAGATCTAGCTGGGACATAAGATGGATAGGCAAAAGAAAGTTGCTAGCCCCAGCAAACTGGTTCTGCCAGGGGGGCTGCAAACCAGACAGTGGGACAACTGGGGAATTTTGATCCTTTTCATAAAACTGATTAGGGGGCCCATCTGACAAAGGAACCTAGAGATTTTGAAAGAAATTCTCTCACCAATCTTGACAGGGTAAACCTGGGCAAGAGAGAGGCTTCCCAGCAAGATGATGGGTTCACCTGAAGATGAGTGTGATTGCCCAAAAGAAGCAGCCACGTGCAGTGGGAGATCCTGGACTTTTTTGAGGTCTCTGATATGAGCCTAAAGATCACTAGAGAGTAATGAGAAAGCTGAGGTAGGAAAATGTGTGTAGGTGAGTTTATTTTTCTTATTTTTGTCTGTATAAATTTCTAAATTAGCAAAAGTAGTTGTGCTTAGGAGCCTCTACAAAGTCTCTATGCCTGCCTTCTTTCAGTTGTCCTAGGTCGCTGAAGAATGAACTATAATTATAACCTTTTGGGTGGCCTGGGTCTATGTGAAAGGGTGAGCTAACACTATTTACTGGACTTAAGAGCTCAGGGCAGCTGGGCTACATGATCTTATTTCTGAACAGGTAAGATACAGTGGTCCAATGTCCTGGAAATATGACATGAAGGCCAAAGGAAGACGTAATGTTGCAGCCAACCCAGACCAAGCACACAAGGGTTGAATATTGGGGTCCAAACAGGGCAGTTTAATGATTGTCCAGCCAGGAAGAGCTCTACCAATGGTGAGACATGATATTCAGTTGGTAAGGCATACATGGAGGTTTAGTTCACCTTAATTGGCTATTTCCTTTTTGCTAGTTACTGGAAAAGGGGCTTGGACTGTCTTAAGGTCTGCTAATAACACTTTTATGTGGGATTTGGAAAAGAAAGATTTCGTACGTTCTTAAATTAGTAGGGCCCAAGTCTCACCTGCAAATGCTGCAGTCCCAGAACCAGATGCATTTTGGCTATCACTTTTTAAATTGTTAGGATACAAAAGAGATTTCAGAACTAGGCAAGAGTGGATGTTATGATGTTTATATAAAGAGAAGTGAAGAGTTTAAGAAAGTACAGAGGGAGGAAGTATAGGAGAGTACAAAGGAATCAATTCAACTTCAATTCCAGAGAAGAAGACATTAAACAAGTAATTAGATAGTCAATCTGTGGCCTCTTGGAAAAGAACAGTGAGATAAATAACAGTCAACAAGGGTTAGTTCAATCAGTCATGTCAAACTAAGAATCAATCATGTCAAACTAACCTAATTTCACTCTTTGATAAGATAACTAATTGAGTAGCTAAAGAAAATATTGGAGATATCACATACCTTGATTTTTGGAAAGGTACTAGATATAGCAGCATATAGCACTGTTGCTGGAAAATTAGAGAGTTGTGTGATTGGACTATAATCAAATGTCCCTTTAAGGTAGAAATGCAAAGAACTTTAACTAGGATAAGAATATGCTTTATTTATATGGTGCTGTATGTGCCCCAAGGTGATGTACTCCAGTCTGAGAATCATGAAGCTAGGTAAATGTTCCACTGTGCATTATTTCTGTAACACAAACACAAAAAAGAGATTACCCATTAGGGATCCAGTTTTGTGCTATTAAAAAGAGTTGCACTAAACACTTTTCAACTTCAAGAGGAACAGGGGCCATACTCTTTCTGCCTTACAACTGTGAGGAGTGAATCTATGGAAATCTGCAGAATTATTTGCTCTGTAGCTTGAAGTTCTTTAAAAAAAAAAAGCTGTCTTTTCTGCATGAATTAAAAAAAGAATAATGGTTAAATCTATTGGACTAAAGCTCAGGACAGCTAGGAGTTTTCATTCTTATTTGTGCCAGACATCCTGTGCGACCCTGGACAGCTCACTTGGTGTTTGTTTCTCAACTGTAAAATGGGGATAATACTTCCTTTCTGCTCACTTTCAGGCCCCCCCTGGGATTTGAGCCTGGGTAGGGTTACCATATTGCCAGTATCAAAAAAGAGGATACCTATGGGGGGAGGGGACATATGATTGTGGTGGAGGGCAGTGATATGCCTATGCCCTGTCTCTGCCCTTCACTCCTAAGCCACAGCCCCTCCAGCCCTGCTGCTGCTTCTCACTCCTGACTCACTGTACCCTGCCCCCCAGCCCTGCCTGTGCCCCTCACTCCCAACCTGCAGTCCCCTGCCCCTCCAGCCCTGCTACCCACCCAGCTTACATGCACAGATACTCTCTCTGTGTCTCCCTCTCTTACCTGCAAGTAGTTGCTGGGGCATGCAGAGGACATGATCCCCAATTGCCTTCCCTGCTGTCCTCAGCCATAAGCAGTGAAGCCACAAGTGCCCAGGAAAAGCCAGAGCAAAAACCCAGACATTTGCTTACATTTCAAAAACCTACCTAGACAGGGGGCCAAAAAAGAAGACACATCCTGGAAAACCCAGCTATATGGTAACCCTAGGCCTGGGTATTTCACACCCACAAGCAGATGCCTAAGCTATAGCAGGCTAGACACCAGCCCGACCTTCTGTGAGGTTCCCAGTGAGGAACCAAGTGACTTGGGTGAACCAATGGGAGCCACAAGTCCTTGATATAAAAACCCTCTCATTCCCTGTATGGCCTTTTCCCATCAGCGCTGTGGTTAAATGTTGCTGTCTTGGACAACGCCCCTCCTCCTCCCACCCCCTGCCTCCCAGAGCAGCTGAATAAATGCCCTCCATTGTGAAGCACTAGGAAAGTGTGCACTAGCCTGTCTTAATGTGCATTAACTAAAGAGCATGGTTTTAAAGTGACACTTAACGTGCATTAGCTAAATAGCATGTTTTTAAATGATGCTTTAATATGAATTAAAGCACACATGTGGATGTGCCCCCTGACTAGTAAACCTTGTTGAAATAATGGTAAACTAATTGAGCTCTTACCAGTGAAGCTGCTTCTGCACCAATGGGGGGGGTAATTAACTTGGTAGCAAGCTAATTGATGCTGTTATTCAGCTGTGGTAATTAAACAATTTTGTTATGGTTTTGACTACACGGTTTCTGATTGAGGCAGCCTGGACTAGCCCAATGTGTTCAGGGATACCACTCTGGAATGTGGTAAGTTGGCCATGTAAATCTGGCCCATCTAATAGGAAATATTTACTCTTATTATGTGAGGTGACCTGTAAAAGCACTAAGCCTGAAAGTGTTTGTAGACTTGGACCTTTAGGCTCTAATCTCAAAAGGTGTTCTTTGTAGGCTAATCATCATATCCGGTTCAGTTGGGTGGGTTTCCTCCAGGGTCTTCCTGGGAGACAGAGTACAAGATAGAATAGTTCAGATTTCCAAAGCTCCACTTGAATTGACACTGTGAGGAAATGATCACAGAGAAAAATTCTGTGGAAGAAGTTCTCTCTCGAGTTAGAAGCTGAAAAAAGGAACAGGCAAAAGGCTTCAGAAGGACATGGTGTCAAGATGCAAATCACA